ATAATAGTCATCACTTCAAGAGCTGAAGAACATCTGTCTGTAGAGTCAGGCCTTTCTTTTTCTATCTTTTTCATTCTTACATGTCTGTTCTAACCCAACTCAACTTGGCAGATGTGGAGTGCCTGATGTAGAGAAGGCCTGTGCTACATCTTGATGATGAAGGACATGAGAGGAGAGGAGAAGCCCTGTCCTTGGGATCTTCATTGTCCCTGCTTTGGCTGCAATCACCTCTTTTCACTTGAATTCTGCAATGCTTCAACCTCTTCCTTTTCTCTTCAGAGCCTTCAGTTTCTAGAGTATCACCCGATGTATGACTTCACGATCAGAACCCCTGCTGCTCTCTAGTCTTAATGTCCAGAGCTCTTTTTGCTCTGGTGAGTCACACACCCTTCAAGGCTCCCAAGCCTTTGCCTTTCTTGCTTCCCTTTCTGAAATTCCATTTCTTTTCCTCCCCTGTAGAGTGGTACTCATCCTCAGTCCCTGGCTCCCCTGGGATGTCCTCCTTTCCTTTTCATTCAGTTGGTAACTCCCAAACACTTTTGAGAGGAGTTCTGGAAAAACTGTAAGATAGTAGACATATAACTGTCTTTCTCCCACTACCTACAGAGTTTGAGATCATGGTAAGCTCTTTAGAAACATATCAAAGAGGCAAATACAACTTTTCCCAGGGACGTCAAGGGAGAGCATCTTGGATCAATGTGCTGAGAGGCTCAGGCCTGGTGACCTGGGTGAGCTAGTATGTGACAGAATCTAAGAGGGATTTGCACCTTCTCCAGTGCTGCATAAGTTTGGGAAAATACATAATCCATGGGTCATGACTTATAGCTTTAAAAGGGAAGCAAGCCCAGATCATTTTGTTTTAGGCAGAAAAAGAGATTTCCTTATGAACTTATCACATGTAGCAGATATTGGGGTGTCCAGAGGCTGCATATTATTTTTATCAAGTGACTCCCCTATTATGTTGAAAATCCCAGAAGTTATACATCATCTTTTTTATGATGGAACATTTCATAGTGTAATGCTTCCTCCTAAGGGAAGATGCTCATTTTTTGTAACATAAGTTTTGGTGATATATTATTTATGATTTATTAAACTTGCTTGAGGATTTAGAAAGCAAAGTCATCCACAAGCCATAGAAGCCAGGCATATGTCTTTAATCCCAGCATCCCGAAGGTAGGTGGTGGTGTTACACACCTTTAATTCTAGGACTCAGGATTAAGAGGTAGACAGATCTCTGTGAGTCCAAGGCTACACAGAACTACACAAGACTGATCCAGTCCTGAAGAGAAAAATCTCACACAAAGATGATCACAGCATCCGGGATCAGACACCTTTAATCCCAGCACTAGGGAGTTATTTAAGACAGGAGCAAGGTCTCAGTATCAGGCATTTATTCCCTAGCCATACTGAAGATTGGAGGCATTTATTCTGCAGTTACATTGAGAATAGGAATGCCCCAGCCCTTTTAGAGGTAAGAACTCTGTGGTAGGATGGTTGCTTTGCTTCTCTGATCTTCAGGTTGAACCCCAGTATCTGTCTCTGGGTCTTTCATTTTTCATGTTACAGTAAGTAGAACATGGATAGGCAGTGTTTGGCACATATTCCAGAAGTGTGTTAAAGACATGTGTGTATTTACACTAAATTAAAAATGTGTTATAATCTGTGATATATTTATAACACACATTTTTATTATTTAATAAATACAATTTAAATGGTACTAAACAAACTTTCTGTTGAATCCCCAACAGCATATTGAGCTAATATTGTTTTTTTCTGTATGAACATATATATCTTACTTATTTTGATCTTGTTAGTTAACAGTTTCACACATTTATGCAATGAAATTTAGTCTTTTCATCTGCCATTCCTCTGCTCAACAACTCTCCCTCTCATTGTAGTCCTTCTTTCCAGAGACACCCTCTCCCAATTTTTTCATGTGCCTTTTGTGTGCACCTCAACAAGTTTAACAAGAGTTAGTTGCTGAGCGTGGGTGGGAGGTTACTGAGTGGAGCTGTGCAACTTATCTGTGGATACACCATTGAATGATACCTACTTCCCCAACAACGTTTAACTGCCTATAGTTTGAGCCCATCAACATTTCATTATGGATGGTGGAGGGGCCATAGTCTTTATTTTATAGTCTTTTTGTTTTTTTAGAAGTTTGTCGTCTATATTAAAACATTTGGTTAAAAAGATAATTGTGTCTGTCTGTTATCTTCAGTGGAATGTAGTTTATGTCTATGACAGGAGCCCTAGCTAGTTTTCCAGAATCCTACTATGACTGGTCCTCCACCACTTAAAAATATATTATCATTCTCCCCATTTCAGAGGTGGTGTCTAAAGCCTATGCAGTGGATGAAAGTACTTTACTTGGGCCTGCATAAACTGTGCATTTTGACCTCTATACTAGGTCTCCCTTGGTTCTGAATTTTAGACAGGCAGAATCCACCACACTAAGGCAGTGTGGATTTCACTCTTCTTTGTCTGTACTGTCAAATATCCCTTATATTCTCCTTGAGGGACACTGAACATTGTCAACCCTTCTTAGCTTCTTCTCTTCTTCAGCCTTGGACACCTGAATCTGGAAAACTGTTTTGCACAAAAAATAACAGAGAATGAGTAAAGAAGTCGATAATCTCACTGAATAAGATGAGTTATGAGGCAATTGCATGGTTCATTGAAACTTCAGGTGGTCCATAAAATATAAAGGTATTATTGGACCAAGCAAGATTGCTCAGCAGACAAAGGTACTTGCTTGAGAACTTGACATTCTAAGCTCAGTCCCCAGAAACTGTGGTGGAAAGGGGGAACCAACTTCTAACATTTATCTTTGTCCTCTATCTACACACCACATAGCATATGTGAGTCCACCAGGGTATTTCTGACCAAGTGTCTAGTAGCATACTGTAGCCATTATATAAGTCATGACTATGATGCTGGCAAAAACAAAAAAACGAAAAAAGGAAATCACCATTGTTGTTGTAGATATTAGGTATTGTATTAGCTGAGTGGAGGATGAATAGTAAAACAAAATCTGGTCTTTGCCTTTTGCCTGACAAACAGAGCCTGCTGAGGTTAAGGCTAATGGAAGGCCTTTATTGAGCTGGTGAACACATGCATACCACACAGGCCGAATCACAATACTCTACACCATCGTCAGCCTTGTGACAGCACTGGTTCTCTGGAACCATGCCTTTATGGTCTATCTTGCTCTTTAGAGTCAGTTCAGTTTGAGCGAGAGCTATGTGCCAGATCCTCTTTATCAGCTCCAAACTGAAGTGTTGCCTAAATGGCCTCAAACTGGTCATTCTGGCATGAAATTAACCTTTTTCTTGCCACAAGTAGTATGAGGCAGAGAGGCAAAATGCTAGTTACAGAAGCACACGTTGCTGTTTAAGGGCATGTCAGTCAGTGGTATATACAATTTAGAAAGCAGAGACTCTCCTCAGTTGCTCTAATTCCACCCTCACTGGTACAAAGAATAAAATGACTAATGTAACTCCTGAGCTTTCATGAGTATAAAAACAGTTTCTCCTGACAAAATACAAATTTTTTATAACGTAGAGAGGGATGCGCCGACTATAAATATCAAATGACTGGTATCGATACCTATTTAAACAGACATAGCACATGTAACTTCCATGGTTGCTATGAGAAACCTGGCCACATGAGGGTGAATTAAATTCAGTCTCTGTGCACACTGGCCTAAAGAACAATGTGCCATGTGCCATAGCACACTTGTGAAGTTAGGAATGTAGACCTCTGAGGCTCTCTAGGAGCCAGCTAGCTTTTTCCAGAGTCACTCACTGTCCTTTACCATGTGTGCCTTCCTCCACTGAAGCAGCCCCAGAAACACTTATTGTTGTCCCGTGACAGAAATGAAAACAGAGGTGCTTAAAGGAATTTCACAAGCTCCCTCTCTTTGTCCAGCTTACATGAAAAGCTCTTCAAAAGAAATAGAAATGTAAAAAGACAGGGCAGTCAGGAATGAACTGGATGACCTGGGGCACCTCACATTTTACCTGTCACCAAGTTCAGAACCATCTGCTTTTTTTTTTTTTTGATCTTCTGTTCTGGGTACCAAAAACCAGTGGTGACCACACACTGAAGCGCTTGAGAGCCTCCTTTCTCTCTCTCACATCTAGTAAGTTAAAAATACTATGGAATATGCTGCCCTTCCATGCCTTTTTTTCCCTTTAAACTCTCACTCTTTCCTTTGCAGGATGGCTTATCATTTTTACAGTTAGTACCAGGTTGTTAATTCCACCTATTATGTAGAGAATAGGATCATTGCAAGAAAGGGAAGTGGGAGAGACAGGGTCCTCTGCTCTTCTGCTCTTCTTCTCAACTTAAGTCATGGTGTGTTTCTGGCTACAGCCTGCCTTTGGTTCTCAGTCTACTGCCCACATGCTGACAGTATCTACACATGACCTGTTATTTTTAGATGTTGTTTGGCCCGATCTGCTGAGTCTTGAGCATGAATGCTGCTGCAATGACATCAGTGACAGCATGCGTCCCAGCAAGCTCCATCGCCATGGTCAGTCTGTTCAAATTTCCTGTTTTATTAATGTTAAGAACAATCCTGCCTCACCTAAACAAGTGTGGGCACAGTCTCTGCTCTCAGTCTTCAATCCTCCTTCTCTTTAGAGGATGCTCCTATTGATGGAGGAACCTGAGGATTACAGGTTTACACAGAAAACTAGGGTGTTACATATATAATAAGCCTTCTCTTAATGTAATAGTCTTCCAGTGCTTGAGATAGGGACTCTTTGACATTCACCAACCAGGTCAGGCCATGCAGCCAATGTGACACTGAAGAAATAATACTGTTGTGCATCCAAATCCTGTTTGTTTTTAAATTATTACTTTACTAATACATAGGAGTTTGAGGTACTGTGTGGTAAACTGAGGAATGTGGTGTTGAGTATTTCTATATCCTTTAAAATATTTAAGGAACAAAGTGATTTGAAATAAACAGATAGAAATAAATATGCATTTACCTGGAACAAAGCTTCCCTGGACCACCTCCTTGTATGCCCACCAGCCTTCATGGATTTTTGGTGAATTCTGTTGAGCTAAAGGAGAAAAAACAAGAAGGTAGATTAAGATGTGGCACAGGAGCCTGTTCCAGCTGTTAAGCAAGAATAGTAAATACCCATGGCATCACTTTTTCCTACTTCAAAGCCACAATCATTAAAAATCCCCTCTTTCATATCCTTCAAATGTACTATTAGCATGTAAATTTCTTGTCATAGGTTTTTATAGTTATCTGGATAATTTAAATTTTTTATTAAAAGACTTTTCATACAATATATTTTGATCATATTCTTTCCTCTTCCTCAACTCCTCCCAGATCCTTTATACCTCCCTATGTATTCAACATCATGTTCTCTCTCCCTCAATAAAGTAAAATATCAATAAGAAAAATAATAACAACAACAAGAGTCTCCCAAACTCAGTGTGGATACTTCCATAAAGCTGTTCACACAGTTGAAGAGGATGATGTACCCCAAACACAGGAGGGCCTGTCTTAGATCAAGGATATATGAGTAGCTGTGCTTTTCTGCTAGAACCTCCAGAAAAGCTCTCAAGGTACTGGTATATTTTTATGGCAGTAAAATAACAATGATTATGTATTGGCTTATTTACGTACCCTCTTCTTGACTTCTACACATGCACATACACACATAGCCACACATACACAGACAGACAGACAGACACACACACACACACACACACACACAAACACACACCACTTGTTGGAATCATATGCATACAAATGTCAAAGAGCATGTAAAACTGTGTTCTTATTTTTAATAAAGTACATTCATATTTTATTTCTCAGTTATATTGAAGAAGACTCAGATGCACCCCACTTGTAATTTGTTTTGACTAAATTAAACATTAAGCCTTTATTTATTGTCTTATTTTTATTTAACCACCCTTTTCAATATCCAAGCTTTGAGATGCATTATTCTGTGTTACAAAGAATGGGCACGGGACATTAGGTTTGAAAACAAGGCTTTGTGTAGACAAAGAACTTGCTAAATCCCTCTTGGTTCCAGATGCACTTGTAATGTTTTTCTCCGCCTATGGGACTGGAAACTTGCAGTTGGTAGAAGCATGGTTGAAGGATAGTTATTGACACAAACAAATAAAAGAGAAGTCCAACCTGAAACTGACAGTGGGGTTCCAGACCTTATAAACATACAGAAGAGTGAGAAAGAACAGATTGGAAGGTCTGGAATGTCAGCAGTTTCAAGTGACTCAGAACAAGTCTAGTGAGTGGATACAGCAACATGCACAGGATTTCCTGTCACTCTGAAATCGCATGAGTTATAGAGTTAAGATGTTTCCATTGCACTCAAAGTCCATGAAGGTATAGCCAGCTCTGGAAAACAGATCGAGAATGGACAAAGACTATACCTCTGTGCTGAGAAAAATGGGTTAGAATTCAGAAAGCATTTTGGTGTCTTTTTCTCTGAACTGCATGAGATACTGCTTCCTTCTGTTTCTCAATACATTGATGGGTCACTGCCACGAAAGCAAGAGGAGATTCCAAAGGCTTAATAATTCATGACATGAATATAGATGATACATAATACAATCAAGCCTAATGGCCATTTTTTCCCTGAAACACTTTGTAACACTTAGCTGTGTGCAGATTAAATATAATTCACAGATAATATAAACTATCAAAACAAATCAAGACTAAACCTTAACATTTTATTAAATGAAACTCAGTCTGGACCCTGCTGATCCTGTAGCCAGCCTGGAAAAGATGTGCATTTCTACAAGTTTCAAAGCATTGGATTTGAACTTCATCTGCCAATTTTGGATCAGAGATAATTCAGGAAAGTTTTCTTTATCTCAGACAGGAATTTCTCAGTCTTATCAAAACTTACAAGTGCTTTATCATATTAAGACTGTTGAGAATGTAAACAAAAAAGTCACCTCCTTTATTTCTCTGAGAGTCCGTTGTTGGTGATTGTAGCAGGGTGCTACCTGATGTGTGTGCTGGGAACTGAACTCACATTCTATAGAAAAATCAGTAAGCACTCTTAAACCACCAAGCCATCTCTCCAGTTTGAAGCTGCAATACATATGTTATATATCAACAAAATTGTTTTAAAAATCATGTCTTTCTCTCTCTTCTAAATCCTCTGAGGTCCTTCTCACCCAACTTTATACTAACCATCTCTCTCATAAACAAACATAAAAAAGTGAAAGCAAAAGCAAAACAAATGAAAACAAGACCAAGCACATACAGAGAGAAAGTGAGAGAGAGAGAGAGAGAGAGAGAGAGAGAGAGAGAGAGAGAGACCGTGCAGAGAGTGAAAGACTTTAGAGCACTCAGTCCTAAATGAGATGTCTTCTTCAAACCCCTCTCATCAAGGTTCAGGGATCTATGATGAAGAGAAAGTGGAAAGATTCTAAGAGCTAGAAGTTACAAGTGACTCCAAGGAAACAATGCCATTGGAATATGACAAGACGGATGCACAAACAAACAAACACCACCAAGAACAATGAAAAAACAGTTCACAATAAAAAAGATGGAATTCATTTTGTGTTGGTCAATTACTGAGCATGGGGTCTGCCATGCAGTATGGCTGATATCCCCAGTGGCACTCCATTTGTAAAAACTGATTTTCCATTTGCCAAAAGTATCAATTGCAAATAGCTTATTTTAGGGGTGGGACGCTGTGTCCACTTCCCTCTCTCAGTGCTGGTACCCCCATCTGCCTTAAACCTATGCATGGCTTGTGCTTGCTGCAAGACTCTGTCAATGCATGTGTGCATCAGTCCTGTTGTGTGCAGAAGGCACTGTCTCCTTGGGGTCCTCCATAACTTCTGGCTTTTAAATCTTTCCTCCTCTTCTTCCTCATACATCTGTGAGCTCTGATGTGAGAGATTTGATGAAGAATCTCATTTAGGACCAAGTGCTCCAAGGTCTCTCACTCTCTGCACACTACCTATCTGCGTGTCTGTGTTTTAAGTCCCATCTATTGCAGGAGGAAACTTCTCTGATGAGAGTTGACTGATGCACTGACGTGAACCCCAATCTAGTGTAGTAGCACCAATGTTTTGCTAGAGTATTTTCACATATTACAAAAGTTCAAAATAAAGCTTTAACTATGTCACAATCAAGAAACTAAAGAAATGTAAATTATCACAATACTGTTTCAATATGTGAAATCTCTTATATAATACACTCTAAAGCATCGATTAGCAAACCACCTCTTAGAAATCTTTAGGGCTCAAGAGCTAAGAATGGTTTGGCATTTTTATGTGCTTGAAAAAAATTAAACAATAGCAATAACTTCTGATATGAAAATTATATAAAATTTCATACTGGAACTTCACATTCAGAGGGCTTGGTTCAGTCCAATGCTGGTTCCCCAGCTTTACAACTTGGGTCCCTATGCTCTCATTAGGTCAAGGCCCCTGTTTCTGTAGGTCTCTCTAGCCGTGCTGACTCGTTTGCTCATCTCTCCTCCCTCTCTACAACTGGATTCCAGGAATATGGCTCAGTGCTTAGCTGTGGGTGTCTGCTTCTGCTTCCATCAGCTACTGGATGAAGTTTCTATGATAGCAATTAAGGTAGTCTTCAATCTCATTATAGGGGAAGGGCAAAAAAGGCGGATTCCCCACTACTGCCTAGATTCTTGGATAGGGTCATCCTTGTAGATCTATGGACATTTCCCTAGTACCAGATTTCTCTTTAACCCTATACTCCCTCTATTAATGTATCTCTTTTCTTGCTCTCCTATATTCTCCCCTTGTGCCAGTCTTCCTGATCCCTCTTGTTCTCTTCCCCCCTCCTCTTTTTCCTCCCTCCCTCCCCTCTCCCCAAGTGCTCCTGATTTGCTTAGGAGTTCTTGTCCCTTTCCCCTTCTTTGGGGGACCATGTATTTCTCTCTACGGGATCTCTAACAGTGGAACCAGTATTTATCCATAGTGTACAAATAGACTTTGGGATCCCATTCCATATGGAATGATACTATTTCAGCCCAGATACATGGAGGAGGACCTAGGCCCTCCCCCAAATGATGTGACAGACTTTGATGATCCTCCATGAAAAGCCTTACTATCCTTGGGGAGCAGGTGGGAGGTGGGTTGGGGAGATGGGAGGGCATGGGAGGATGGGAGGGAGAGGGAACTGGGGGGTTGGCATGTAAAATGATTGTTTATAAAGGAAAAAAAGAAAGAAAAAATAAAAAATTAAACTTCAATGTTCACGAATCATTTTGGCTCACTGTGTTCATTTGCTTATATATTACCCACCAGTTCCTTTCTTTGGCAGTACCATGTCTAATAAGCTGTAAGGGAAGTCTTTTGGCTCAAGAACACTCAAATGTTTCTTCTATTATACCATACTAAAAAAGAGTGCTGGCAGTTAATTTACACATATAAAACTTAAAAAAGAAAGTCAACATAATGAATGTAGCAGTTTAATTGCAGTTGTAATTCCATAAGAAAATTATAAGGAGCATAACGTATAACAAAATATTTTATGCTTCAATATGTATACAGTTGGACATGATACACTTGAACATAAAATGAAGAAATTTGATGATGGATTGAAGCATGTACAAATACTTTCTAAGTGTTGTGTAGGAGGTTTCAGAATCATGGCCTTGCTGACAGAAATAATTTACAAAATAATGAAGAATAAACCTTTCCTTTATTTATGGGCATTTGTGTTGTTAATTAACAGGTTAGTAAAAGTCTGTAATAGATAATTTGTGTTCACATGCAAAGTGGAGCTTGTGGGCTCAGAAAAATAAAACATTTCCCACTCACTTGAATGTCTTCTGGGACATAGGATCATTTATCATTATTTGGAACTGTCTGACATACTAGAGAGCACATATTGTCTATGAGGCCACCACCCCCCTCCTTTGTTGGAGCTAATTGCACCTTTTTCATTACAGCACTCTCAAGAGCCCTCATTAATTTCCAAAATATTTCTCTAGGAATGGTGACACCCTGTTGACAGTCTTTGACCTATGGGACTATTTATAACATTATTTGTGTCTTCCAAATGAGCTGGAGTGAAGCATTATATTGAATG